CTGGATTTGAGGACCTCTGCAACTTTTAATGCCATTACTCTAACAGACAATAGAAGTGATAGAAGTCGGTGGGAATCGAAAGGGGGTATATCGGGGTATATGATAGTGTTGGTATAGAATTTATATCCCCCGTATTTAAAATGTTATAATTGGTTAATTTTTTAAAGGCATTTTCTGGTAGGTCATTTTCGGTATTGAAATCATACAAAAACCAATATACTTGACCTGGACCTTTTCCCGGTCATTTGTAGATGACCCCAAATTGTTTGTTTCCCGCGTCTCCATTGTATGAACATATTCTAGGCCAATAGTTTTGACATCGGTCTCCCATATAAGTTTGACCACTACCGACGGGTGGCCAACATTGGCTGGGTATCAAAGCGATGTTTATGATAGCTAAAAAATTTTAACTATCGCAATCATTAATACTCATTTAGACAATTTTTATCATATATAATTTTGATTTTTCCGGGAACAGTTTTGTAAAATACAACATTATTAAATTTCTACAAAATTAATGTCGAAAATTGGTCATGTTTGGAGATTTGCTGGTCATCAATGGAAAATGATACACAATTTTTGGTTATAGCATTTACTAAAATGTAATAATATAAAAATGTGCTCTTATATTAGATATGGGACTGGTGTGGTAAATGACCTCTTTATTAATTAAATGTAAATGTGATATTTTCGCGTAAAAGTAAAAAGGCGGTGAATATTTAATATTACTTTTAATGAATAAATGTGGACTATTTGCACAATAAAGTACAGCATTGTATTGATGTGTTTCATTGAAATGAACGTTCAGTTAATGTTCTAGTATTGGGAGAAAACACATACTTTAAACACATTTCGTCACTTTCAACTAACGTTACGCTCTCATCTGACACAAATGCGTTATGTTGACATACACTCAACATAACTGACATCACAACTGACGTAATCACGGTGCAATAGTGACTCACAGGTGACCTTACATAACAATACCGGTCATCTGATCCACACTTCTGTACGTATTGTCAATCCATGATTGCATTGTTCATCTCATGATCACATCCTCAGGTGCGAAGTCAATGCCAATTGGGATCAATTGTTGTCAATCATAAGCAAATAATAGTGATCTGAACTGAGGAGGAATGGGTGGCAGTCAGAGCATCGAAGTGCCCGGCGGTGGCACTGAAGGCTACCACGTGTTGAGAGTGCGTCCACTCATTGTATTGATTGCAGACACACTTGAATTGATTGAATTGTTTGTCTTTAGGTTCAGGACTACTCTCCCGGCCATAAGGCAGGACTCGAGGCTTATTTCGACTTCATTATAGCCATTGGCAACACTCGACTGGTATGTCATCTGTTATGATAGCAATGATTTGATGGTATAATGATTGTGTCAATTGGTGTCCAGAATCAAGACAACGACGCCCTCAAAGAGATCCTGAAGACATCGATTGATAAGCCGCTTGTGATGACTGTTTACAATAGCAAAACCCAAACGGTTCGAGAGGTAGAGTTGACCCCCAGTGCCAAATGGGGCGGACAGGGACTGCTCGGTGTGAGCATTAGGTTTTGCTCGTTTGAAGGCGCGAACGAACACGTTTGGCACGTCCTTCAGGTCGAGGCCAACTCTCCCGCGCATATCGCGGGACTCAAGTCGGACACCGACTATATTATAGGCGCCGATTCTGTTCTCCAAGAAGTGAGTTCTTGCGGTCCATTCATGAAATGTGTTTTGCATTGAATTGCTTTTGTACTGCAGAGCGAAGATCTTTTTAGTCTCATTGAAGCTCATGAGGGAAAACCTCTTAAACTATTTGTCTATAATTTAACCACCGATTCCTGTCGTGACGTAACAATAGTTCCCAACAGGTATTTAATGTCCAATACATGACATGTTATTAACATTAATGCAAATATTAATTGAATAGCAATTGGGGCGGAGAGGGAAGTCTTGGCTGTGGTATTGGTTACGGATATTTGCATCGAATTCCTTATAGAGAAGAACCAAAAGTGAAGGAAACGACTGCTTCTCAAGAGCCTAAAAATATACCGCAATCCACTCCAGAAGCGACTCCAATATCACAAACACATTATTCGGACAGAAAATACGAACTCCAACAACAGCCTCAATCCCAACCTCCGCCGCCTCAGCAACAGTCCCAACAGTATTCGTCACCAATGGTTGCCAATACTCCTGTTGTTGTTCACGACCATAAGCATCAACAAGAAGTTTTCAACGCCCATATAGGCATCACAGCGACGCCCACACCCCCCACACCCGCCGCTCAGATCACCTCAACTCCTATTTCGTCGCTTTCAAGCAATTTGGCGAATATAAGTTTAGGACAGGGAGGGGATCAGTACTCGACATACAATCAGTTGAACACTTCGACCAGCACTACGCCCAGTGGTTCCTATCCATTGCCGGCGACACTACCAGTGTCTCAAATCGGCACAACCGACACATACGGCGCTCAGAGAACGAGTCCTTTTACGCCATCCTATGGCTACAACCAGTCTAACTATAACATGAATACCAGTCCTGGAGTGAACCCTTTGGCCACATATGGCGGGCAGTCGTTTACGACTCCCATTTCTCTGCCAGGAATGCCTCCGTTGTCACTCCAGAAGCGACTCCAATATCACAAACACATTATTCGGACAGAAAATACGAACTCCAACAACAGCCTCAATCCCAACCTCCGCCGCCTCAGCAACAGTCCCAACAGTATTCGTCACCAATGGTTCCCAATACTCCTGTTGTTGTTCACGACCATAAGCATCAACAAGAAGTTTTTAACGCCAATATAGGCATCACAGCGACGCCCACACCCCCGACACCCGCCGCTCACATCACCTCAACTCCTATTTCGTCGCTTTCAAGCAATTTGGCGAATATAAGTTTAGGACAGGGAGGGGATCAGTACTCGACGTACAATCAGTTGAACACTTCGACCAGCACTACGCCCAGTGGTTCCTATCCATTGCCGGCGACACTACCAGTGTCTCAAATCGGCACAACCGACACATACGGCGCTCAGAGAACGAGTCCTTATACGCCATCCTATGGCTACAACCAGTCTAACTATAACATGAATACCAGTCCTGGAGTGAACCCTTTGGCCACATATGGCGGGCAGTCGTTTACGACTCCCATTTCTCTGCCAGGAATGCCTCCGTTGACGGTCAGCGCAACGCTTCCGACCGATAAGTTTTCGGTTCCGTTCGCCAACACGTATTCGGAACAGCAATACAACCCCAACACAAATCAATCGGTTGGCTATCCATTAGATCCCAACCAAACATATTCACCACAGCTTTAGATTTTGATAATGTTTTTAAATTTTTTCAAATGATTTAGTTGTCAAATATATAAACTATGATAACAAATGAATTAAGTATTCATATTATAAATGTATATTAATATGATTTGGAAGTCATTTGATAACAAATAAATTATTTGTTAAACTCATTCATTTGACAACTTTTTAAAAATGTTTGCAATATTTAATTATTTTGTAAATTATTTAATAAATTAAATTTATGTTTAATTTTAACCGTAAAATGATTTATTCGTAACTAATATTAATATAAAATTCAAATGAATCTTCGATTATCAGGTTTTAGATCTTTGTATTTCTTGAGATCTCGAGAACAGAGTTTGGAGTATTTGTCAATCGCTTCAGTCATTTGGTTTAAATGAAGTTCATATTTCTGAAGGCAGACCTCTCTGTTGATGACACCCATTGAGTTGAGACATAAGTCGGTCACGTGAGCACAACTCGACAGCTCAACGCCCAAGTCGTGGATCAATCGCCGACAAGAGAAGAAACCATCGCTTACGACACGGAGCTTAAGGTCTGGCGGTTTGAAACTCAATACCTCAACGCTATGACAAGTTCTCAGTCGAGGTGAGGGCTCGTCCTCCACAGTCCTCTGGGTCTTGGCTTTCCTTTCCTTTTCGATTAAAATATTGGGTTTTATAATAAACGGTGGATTCAACTGTTCCTTCGTTCCCACAAATTGGTTCAGTGCTTCCTTTAACTGGTCTTCGCTTATATGATCTCAATGTAGATAAGGATAGAAAAGTTTTTCAAAATAGTCTACAAATAAGAAAAGTAGCCGAAGACTCACTAAATGGCATGTGATTAATAACTTGTGAATCGGGACACATGTCTTTGGTTTGTGTCCCTAATTTAGCCCCAATTATCCATTCCTACAATGCATTACAAATCAATACAAATTTATATATCATTTAATTGACTCGTGTCTCACATGAGGCCAAAACTGTGTTAATGGTGTGAGTTTTGTAGACATATAGCCTTTAGCCCCAATTATCCATTCCTTCAATGCATTACAAATCAATACAAATTTATATATCATTTAATTGACTCGTGTCTCACATGAGGCCAAAACTGTGTTAATGGTGTGAGTTTTGTAGACATATAGCCGATACCAATACAGAGGACACCTGTTGCGAACGGTTCCGTATATTTAGGATTGATGTCCAAAATAAGGGACGGAGAGCTTAAAAGTTTTCTATCACTCATTTCTGATAGACTATCAGATGACAAGCGACTCTCTGATGAACACAAATAGATAATGGATTTAGTGATCAAATAGTGAGACATTGAGAGCGATATATATACCAAAATAATGTGTGAGTCTAATCCATGTCTTGTAATCTTCAATACTATTACCACTTTGTTTCCAAACTCCAAAAATACCGTTTAATAGTCTTGATTTTAAAACCTTGTTATTCAACATTGCATTCAATTGTGGATCAAATAACACATTACATACAAAACGTCTCATTATATGATGCAATAATTGCAATTAACATGTTCATTTTACGTGCATCTACAAGTAAATTATATGCTTAACTAACCAATTAACCATGCTTCAGTAAGCTCTAAATTACCACGTGATCATACCTATCACTTCAAACATAATCTTCATTTTAAACTTTAATTAAAGAAATTGTTAAAAATTAGTTTTTATTTATAATTTTTTGACAAAAATATTACAATTAATATTATTCTAATATAAATTATAATAACAATCATTGAATTATTCATAGAAAAATTATTATTGAACCGAATTTAATGAATTAAATATGATTTGGAAAAATAATTGTAGAGATAATGAAAGGGATGAGCGATAAAGTGATCAATTGTCTGGCATTTCTCCTCCGGGAACCATCTAATCATACAATACAACAATCAATACAATTCACATAATTAAACATTCGTTGCATACAAACCATTGTTATGTTGTTTCCATTCAATAAGATTTGATCCAATTTAGTGACACGACGTCCTTCTGGAGTACTTTCGCTGTCAATCAAATCCACATTTAATTATTAAAATAATCAACAAATGGATAAAAACACTTACTATTCGGTCACATCTTCTAACACCATATCTGTTAAAGAATAACAAAATCAATAAACATGTCATCCGTTTGACAATAATGTCAACACTCACTGACGAAGTCATCAAATCCAAGAAGAGTTCCCACAATTTCCTTATCGTTTCTCATAATGATGTGAATCCGAGAACCGATACATTTGTCAATCAGTTCTGCAATACAATGGCAACCATATTATTCATAACAACAATTCATAACAAACTAAATATTGAGTAAACATTCAATTCATGGAAAGTGTTATACAATAAGTGTTTCGTTTCCATCACTACTGCAGTCAACAACACTTGCACTCAACACAACTCAACACAACTCAACCAACGCTTGCAAACCAATGCAAACCAAACGTTTGGTTACGTTTGGGAGAGGGTAAGTGATGTCATGTGTGAGAGTGTGAGAGAGGGTCACAGACGGTGAAGAAGCGGCCAGTAATACAGGCGGTGTTGAGAGTGGTTAGGTAGTTGAGAAGAGGCATTAGGTCTGTTATCCATCACTTATTTGATCCATAATTGTGTCTAATTATACCAACGGTAACATAACGTCTTGACTAACTGTTTACATAGCCAAGAGCCTAAGTGTAGTAATACTCTTTGCTATTCCTTTAACACCCTTGAGAAGAACCTAAACTACTGAAGCAGTCACTCAATTGACATTATTGTCAAACGGATGACATGTTTATTGATTTTGTTATTCTTTAACAGATATGGTGTTAGAAGATGTGACCGAATAGTGAGTGTTTTGATCCATTTGTTGATTATTTTTATAATTAAATGTGGATTTGATTGACAGCGAAAGTACTCCAGAAGGACGTCGTGTCACTAAATTGGATCAAATCTTATTGAATGGAAACAACATAACAATGGTTTGTATGCAATGAATGGTTAATTATGTGAATTGTATTGATTGTTGTATTGTATGATTAGATGGTTCCCGGAGGAGAAATGCCAGACAATTGATCACTTTATCGCTCATCCTTTTTATCTCAACAATTATTTTTCCAAATCATATTTAATTCATTAAATTCGGTTCAATAATAATTTTTCTATAAATAATTCAATGATTGTTATTATAAGTTATATTACAATAATATTAATTGTAATATTTTTGTCAAAAAAATTATAAATAAAAACTAATTTTTAACAATTTCTTTAATTAAAGTTTAAAATGAAGATTATGTTTGAAGTGATATGTATGATCACGTGGTAATTTAGAGCTCACTGAAGGACAATTAATTGGTTAATTAAGCATATAATTTACTTGTAGATGGGCCGAATAATGTGAACATGTTAATTGCAATTATTGCATCATATAATGAGACGTTTTGTATGTAGTGTGTTATTTGATCCACAATTGAATGCAATGTTGAATAACAAGGTTTTAAAATCAAGACTTTTATTAAACGGTATTTTCGGTGTTTGGAAACAAAGTGGTAATAGTGTTGAAGATTACAAGACATGGATTAGACTCACACATTATTTTGGTATATATATCGCTCTCAATGTCTCACTATTTGATCACTAAATCCATTATCTATTTGTGTCCATCAGAGAGTCACTTGTCATCTGATAGTTTATCAGAAATGAGTGATAGAAAACTTTTAAGCTCTCCGTCCCTTATTTTGGACATCAATCCTAAATATACGGAACCGTTCGCAACAGGTGTCCTCTGTATTGGTATTGGCTATATGTCTACAAAACTCACACCATTAACACAGTTTTGGCCTCATGTGAGACACGAGTCAATTAAATGATATATAAATTTGTATTGATTTGTAATGCATTGTAGGAATGGATAATTGGGGCTAA